TATTTAGTGGTTGAACAACTTGGCCTTTTTTAATATATCTATTTTATTTTCATTATTTAGCGAGTATAAAATTCAAATATAAAACTATCCACACTCAATTTTATATATTATTTTAATAATTAACTTTTTAATTCATTTACAACATGTAATATTGAGTATATTTACTTATTTGATAATATGTAAAAATTATATAAAAATATTATAAAAAAATTTTTTTATATATCATCATTTTCTTATTTAGTGGTTGAACAACTTGACCTTTTTTAATATATCATGATAAATATTTTATTTTATTTTCATTATTTAGCGAGTATAAAATTCAAATATAAAACTATCCACACTAAATTAAAGAGTTGACTCCTATTTTACTGGAGAGAAGAAAAAAAAAAGATAACTAAACTTGGATAAAGTATAAAAAATTATCTTTTTATAGTCACCAGATAAGTAAGCTATACAACCATGTTAAGTTGATTTTTTTTTTTTTCTCAATTTATACATTTATTGGCAAAAATTATAAAATTTTGATTCAATTTTTATTAATGGGTGACAGTGATCGGAACAGCCTTTGCATTGAATATTCTATTCAAGCTCAAAGTATGGATCGGAGTCCTCTGTACAGGCCTCAGTACTCTCTTGTTTCTTAGTCTGCAGAGATATGGGGTAATTTTTATTTTACCGGCAATCAAATTACCATTTAATTTTTTAAGAAATGCAAGGTAGATTACACTATTTTTAATCATTAATAAAAGTGTAAGCTTTTAATATCAAAGGGTTATTCCTCTATTAATTGTTGCAATAAATTTTTATAGAAAAAAGTAACCTGTAATTCTTTAGCAAACTATTTTTGTTTTAAGGATTTTTTTAACTGTGCATTTAAAGTATATGTCAAATTTTATTTATTATAGTATTTATAATTAATTTTACATAAATTTTCATATAAAATTTAAATAAAATATAATATAAAATATAAAAATATAATATAATATTTTATTTCAAAATTTATTAAAAAATAAATTTAATATAAAAATTTATATAAAATTAATTAAAATATTTTAATTAATAAATTTTAACTTTTGTCATTAAACAAACTTTTTTAATTTTTTAGAAAATGAAGGGCATACTATATTATTTTTAATTATTTATAAAGATGTGGTTCCTTAATATTAAGGCAACTGTTCCTTCCGTTAATTATTTTTGTAATTTTTTACAAAAGAGTAATATGCAGCTGTTGTGCAGACTATTTTTGTTATATTGGCAGATAAATTTTCATTTAATCTTTTATAATAGAAAAATAACAGGTAATCCATGATTTAAATTATTCAGTGATAATTTTTTTTTATTTATAAATTATTTTTTAGTTGCTCTTTTAAAATTTAAAATAATTAATTAGATTAAATAACTCTTCATTATTTAAATAATAGATCTTCTATAGGAGAAAAGAGAAAGATCAAAAAACACAATACCAATTACTAAGATACAAGCAAAGATATGAACCAAATCGATTTTATCTTATTGGCTTCGTCTGCGAACTTATCCTTGTCTGTTTAGGCAAGGAAGCTGGAAGTTTTGATATCAGTGATGGTGTTTGTAATGGCTGCATGTTTCTTTGGGGAAATGAGTTATGTGAAGCCCCCAGCAGGCGGTGTATTGAAGGGAATGTTCGTGCCAAAGCTCAGTGGCCAAGGAGCCACCGGCGCTGCCATTGCCCTGCTCGGTGCACTTGTTATGCCGTAACATCTTCATTTCCTTATCTAATTAATTAGTCCTACATTTATTTATTTCTTTTATTTATATATAATTAGAAAATAAATTGTTACTAAACCTAAGTCATGGGATAAATGAAAACGGTATTGTTTACTACCTATTCAGCTAAAGTTTGAGGGTTCTTGATCACAATCTCTTTTTTTATTTCTTAAAAATTACAGTTGTTCAATAAATAAATAAATTGTTATTACTAATAACTAATTAACATGAAAATCTTTTGTTACAGGCACAATTTGTTTCTTCATTCTGCTCTTGTACTTTCTCGTAAAGTACCCAAAAATGTAACAGGCGTCAATGTGAGTAACACAAACAAATAATCTAACAATATGAGACAGTGAAATCTTGAAAAAAAAATAATAATAAAGTATTGATTTTGTAACATGACATATATATATTGTCTGTTCAGGCAGCATGTCGCTATTTCCTTGTAGAGAGTGGATTTGCATTGTTTGTTGCGTTTTTGATCAACCTGGCAATGATATCGGTATCAGGCGCCGTTTGTTCCGCCTCAAACCTTTCTCAAGAAAACCAAGATCATTGCAACAATCTCACTCTCGACACTGCTTCTTTTCTTCTCAAGGTTAGAAAACAAAGAACATATATACGTATATCTAACTTCAACTTTAATTTTCTAAAGCAAGATTAAAATTTATTCCTAATTTTTCATAAATGCAGAATGTATTAGGAAAGTCTGGCAAAATCCTCTATGCCATTGCCTTGCTTGCCTCAGGACAGAGCTCTGCAATCACAGGAACCTATGCAGGACAATTCATAATGCAGGTAAGTTGGCATCAACAAATTAAACAAAACCTACACGAGGACTTGTCTCATCCTAACCTCTCCGAGGAATATAGACTATGTATCATGCATTTTCGTTTGTGTTAATAATTAAAGTTTAATTTTTGAAGGTGTTTATCTGTAGGGCTTCTTAAATCTTAGAATGAAGGGGTGGAAGAGGAACTTGTTAACAAGGAGCATTGCCATTGTACCAAGTCTTTTATGCGCCACCATTGGTGGAGCTCAAGCAGCAGGCGAATTGATCATCATTGCATCGGTAATTAGAATAAGTGAATAGTATTTTTCAATCCAAACTAAATAATAATAATAACATTTTTGTTCGAATAATTACATATACTTAGCAATTTAATCATCCGTCAAAGAAAAAGAAATTAATCAATCAATAAACTTGAGTTTAACTCATTAATAACAATGGATTTTGCAGATGATTTTGTCCTTTGAACTCCCTTTTGCTCTCATCCCACTTCTTAAATTTAGCAGCAGCACCACCAAGATGGGACCGCACAAGAATTCACTAGTTGTGAGTTTTTACGTCCTTTTTTTTTTGTAAAATTAATCCAGGTTGATTAAGTTGTTCTAGTGTTTAAAACTTAATGAATTTGTAAATCAACAAATGCAGATCATTGTGATATCTTGGATACTAGGCCTGGGAATCATTGGCATCAATGTATATTACCTGAGCACAGGCTTTGTGGGTTGGTTGATTCACAGCAATTTACACATGGTTGGAAAAGTGTTCATGGGAATCCTTGTTTTCCCTTTCATGGTAATCTATATTCTTGCTGTAATCTATTTGACCTTCCGAAAGGACAAGGCGGTGACATATGAGGAACCTATGAAGCCAGATCAGATTGAAAGTGGGATTGATGAGATGGACCGTGCTGTCCCTCATAGAGAGGATTTGGCTCAAATTCCATTGCCACAATAGTCATTGCCCCAATCGCATGACCCTTTGTAAGATGCACTTGTTTTAAGAAGAGTATGTTTCTTGCATTTGTAAAATGGATGTGGAATGTTTCATGTCGGATTCTACTTGTGTTTGTTTAGCTTATCTACGTTGATGAATAAAAGATAGAACTTGATGCTTCTGGGAAAAAAAAATACATGGAACTCAATGACTTGAAAGCAGAAACTTGTGGAAGTGGGCGGCAAGAGAATCAGTTAAAGCCACCCAAAAAACCAAAAGCAGAATGCTTTTATTATACCAAAGTAATTTTTGATGAATGCTTTATCATACAAAAGAAAATGTTGTAATTAATTGAAAGTATAGATATTCCAAATCTAGATGATGATGTTACAAACCCTCCAAATCGCCTCTCTTGCCTTGTATATGAACTACAAGATGTGAAGTTACATTTGTGGCTCATCCATTTATACGGTTCTCTCTTCTATTTGCAGTAGGGAAAACAGAGTAACAGCTCCAATTAAATCGAACCACAATTCAATTCCAAGTTTACATCAAGTTTATCAGTTCAACCTAAACTAGAGCTAGTCCCAGATACAGACCTCATCAGTGGATGACTAACGGCAGGCTGTGCATTTACTGGGGCATTAAGCATAACATTAGGTGCTGTTGTGGAAGCCTGCATGGCTGCAAGGGGGACTCTTGGTCCCATTGGAAACATTGCCTGACGTGGCATAAATGGCATGTGGGGATGTACCTGCTGACTGCTGCCATATCCTGAAATGCTGGGTTGTGAAGGCGAGGCTGAAATTACTTGTGGCCTCATATTGCTTATGTTACTGTTAACCATAGAGGGAGCAACACCAGGTAGAGTCATCTGTGAAGCAACTCCAGGGGATCTAAGTCCAGTAGATATAATATGGGCCCGTTCTGCAGCAAACCTTTGTCTTGTTTTCTCCACTTGTTCACATTCTTTCATCAGCAAGGTTTCAATCTCTGCAAACTGCTTAAGCTTCAGCTCCAATCTCCTTAACTGACATATATGCAGGGAAAGTCAGTCTTACAGTAGAACAGATTATAGGTACAGGAACCGCAATGTTATTATTAAACAATAAGCATGCAAACAAAAGCCCTGAAAATCTTTGTAAAAATGACTCTTTTTCTTCCAATTTACCAACCAGAGCCACCCCTAGCCTGGACACCTCATGATGCATCAACATAAAAAGGGAAAAAAAATAAAGAAATACCTTATTATTTATTATATTAGCTGAATGTCTTTGAATTTCCCGTTCCTCATGGTCAGCAAACAGTTTTGCCTTCATAGCTGCAGCTGCAAGGCCAGCTTTTGCAGCAGTTTTAACTTTTTCCACAGACAATGGAGCAGTCTCAGCCTCCTTTCGACTCCATGAACCGTGTAGTGCTGAGTTTTCGCCTATGGTATTAACATGAAAATAATTAAAAACGTGCCAAACTATTATAATAAAAAGCACAATAATTAACTTACACCCTACCCTTTTGCTGAATTGAACCATGAAAACCTCCTTTTCCATGTACATTTTCTGAATTTGTCCTTCGCAGATACAAAACATTTATCAGTATTGTAACAACAATTTATAAACTAAAGCCAACACAATTTGAACAAGAAGGGTCTAAAAGATCTTTGTCCAATCAAAATGATGAAACCTTCTTATACCATTGCACTGAAACTGGAATTAAAGAACTTCATAAAAATTAAGGACTACTCACTAACCTATCACCGTGTCCTGCTCCTTCCACATTTTCAGACAATGCTGCCAAGGATGTGTGGGCACAGGCTGCAGCAACTCTTGGTCCAACAGCAGAGGCCAGAAAAGCAACCTAAATGACAATCCACCAGTTAGATCCATGAAAACCCAGCAAGAGAAAACTGACACCAACTTGTTTCAAAAATCTTAGCAAGCCCCTAGTAGTCAATTAGAGCTATTTAATTGTTGTTTGATCGTGGATCACAATGATTTGAGTACAATCCTTGCAAAGGCACTTGGTTAAACTTAAGCCTAAGAGTTAGTTTTGAAGAAATCAACTTAGAGAAGAGGCTAAAACAATATAACTTCTAAACCTTGATTCAGCAAAACTTTTACGTACCAAAGTAAGAAAAATAAACAACATTTTTAAGTGCATTTGCTGCTATTAGCATTTCAAGGTAAATTAACAAATGATAACATGATTTTATGTTAAATGTGTCAGAAAATCTCATCACTTCAATGTCCATAGTGATGTGTTCATATGTCAAGTCAATTAGAACAGTTGAATAATTCAGGAAGCTCAGGAAAATATTTTACATACCAATGACATTACAGGATTCCCAGAATTTGCAAAAGGGAGGCTGTTTTCAGAATCAGCATCTGGAACACAGGATGAACAATCAGAGAGTTAAAGGGACAATATAAATCAAAACCATCTTGAAGCCTGAAGGGTAGAAAAAATAAGCTAAGAATACCTAGAAGACTTCCATTTGTGCTGGAGTGCAGTCTACCATTATCATCTCCATTTGGAAGATTAAATGATTTAGACATGTTTGGAACTTCAATATTTTCTAATATTCCATTCTCGATGGGCAGACGGAGAAAATGAAGTATGCATTGTGATTTTGACTTTGTACCAACATACTCTGCTATTTCATTCCAATTCTCATTGAAAATTTCCATTGCCTCGAGCAGTAGAAGAGTTTCTTGATCACTCCAAGTTTCTCCATCCAGTTCACCATAATCTTGTGCTGAATCGACTCTTATAAAATCTATGCTTGAGTGACCACTAACAAATCTCCCATCATGAAAGCAATCAGAGCATGATAGCACATCAACCTGTTAATTAGCCAACGGTGGAGATATAATAGCATAATTAACATCAAGATCATGTTAAAGTTTATGAAGGCATGGTGTGATCCTAATCCAAAGGGTTTTCCTGCAGTTTCATCCATTCTTTTAGGCAAGATAGAGTACATGTAAGAAAAAGAGATTTATTGGATAAATTTAGGTTTAATAATGAAATTGATAAGGGAGATAGAAATGGCATAAAAAGCAACTTACTTCCTTCTGTGACTGATACGACATAGAAGTAAGAGGCTGAGAACAATGATTGCAACAGTTTTCAGACAAACGCTCTCGAATTCTGTCGTCCAAGTACGAAAAATCATCACCATGACAGGACAATGATGAATAGACATCAGCTGCCTTGAGCCTACATTTGGGCTTATCGAATTTTATCAAACTATCAATAGACTTTAAAGCAGCTGACGCCACATGAACCTCACCCTTTGTATCCTCCCTTATGAAGGAGCCACCATTCCAAGGCTCATTGCTTGGTGAAGCAGCACAATAATTGATAATTCCCCAGTGATCAAGAAACCGAACAATTCGTGCTAAATCTTCATTACTGATACCATCTACCAGTCCTTGGCAATCAGGGGTAATAAGTCTCATATCTGGATTATCCATGTATTTGGCAACAATGTAGTTCCTACATTCCATATACTTTTCTGGGCTGTGATCTGGTGATTTTCCAGAGAAAAAATGAGGGACCACTTGCCTTTCTAATCGATGCACTGTAGCTGGTGAAAACCAATCTGCACACAAGAGAAACCCGTAAAAACAATATAAATCAAAAAAGCACATATAACAAGATAAATATGACATGGATGAACATAAATTGAAAGAGAGAAAGCATAACATAAACTCCGAGCTTCAACATCCCTGGCACTAAACCACTAATGGAAAATTTGAATAGTTAGAGGGTAGAACTTGTCCAGTGCACTATATGAGCAGCAGAAAAGTAATGTTGGATGGATCTCAAAATCAGCTCATACAAAACAGAACCCATCTTCACTGCAAGTTGCTTAAAGTTGCTTTAGGAAAGCACTTCCGAGGCAAACTAAATAATTGGTTAGCACCCAGAAATCAATGCCTCCACCTGGGGACTCATCTAAGGCAAACTTGTCATGACCATGACCCATTTTCATAATTTTGCCCTGATTGAAAATGTGAACAGAATCTCCTCATCGCTCTTTCTCTTTGCCTCTAAGAATTCCTCTCTACTTCGGTACTTCCATTTAAATTTTCACAGCAGACTCAAAACTAGAATCAGAAAACTGAAAAGTATAACAAGAGCCTAAAAAGTAAAGCAGAGAATGAAACTGAACCTGAATGCATTGGCACTACATGAACCCTACTCCCAAACCTCTTAACCACGCCTCTACACTCCATAATTGGTGGCGGAGCAATCACAAACTTGTCCTGATCATGTGCCGCAGGTTCCACAGACAACGCCTGCAGCTGGCCGTAAGAAATATTCTCCAACACGGCTACCCCAACCTGCTGCCCCTTACTATCCCCATCCAAACCCGCCCGTTCAGCCGCCACAATAGCCATGACGGAAGGATGGGGTCGGTTGACGGTCCGCTTAACCACAACCGGGAATTCGGAGATGCGGACCCTACCGTCAGCCAAGACCTCGCTCTCGCTGGGCCCCGCGGATGGATCGGGCACAGCAGCACCAGCTTCATCAACGGAATTGTCGAGGTCATCGTTGTTGTTGTTGATGTTGTCTTCTTCTTCGTCATCCTCCTGAAGGGCGTCGTTGTCGTCGTGAAGCTGCTGTTTGGGTTTGCGGTCTCGCTTCCGACGCTTCCATCGGCCCCGGGCATCTGCGGGAAGAAGAGAAAGAAATGAGAAAACAAGAGAGGGAGAGAGAGGGAAAGGGGAATTTGAAATCTGAGGGGGAAAATGGTGGGATTTTACCTGAGGGAGATGCTGGCATTGGAGAGAGAGAAAGGTGGAGAAAATTGTGGGGTCTTTGATTGATTGGGAAAGCAAAGGCAGGAGGAGGCAGGGAGAATAGGGCTTCCCCTTCTACCAGCAACGGCGCGCCGTGATTCTCTCAATCCCTCACCCCTCTCTTCCGCTTCGGTTTTCGGTTCTGGTTCGGTCACTCTAGTATAGCGGTTCCACTGTTTTTGTTAAAAAAAAAAAAAAAAACTTTTATAATGAAATTTGGGTTGGCTTAATTTAATTTTTAGTCTATTAACTATCACCTTGATTTCATTTTAGTCTAGAAACTATATTTTGTTTCTAAGTGATCTATTAACTTTCATATTCATTTCAATTTCGTCTACTTGGTCAAAGATAACGGAAAACTTCATGTTAGAGAATAGTTAGTCCTCTAACTATATTTTTTGATCTTTTAATCTTCAAATTTATATTTGTTATAAAAATAATTTTTATACTTAAAATTATTATTTTTAAGTTTTGATACCAGATTTTTATACTTAAAATTATTATTTTTAAGTGGTTTATTAACTTTCAGGCTCTGATACCAAATTAAAGAAATAAGAAAACCCATATAAAAATCTTTGACCAAGTAGACAAAATTGAAATGAATCTGAAAGTTAATAGACCACTTAAAAACAAAATATAGTTTCTAGACTAAAATGAAATCAATGTGATAGTTAATAGATTAAAAATTAAATTAAGCCAATTTGGGTTTAAAGATTCGGAAAAGTGCTTTTACGAGGTAAAGAATATATATATATATATATTTTTTTAGTTTGCATAATAAAAAAATAATATTTTATTTTTTATTTTACTTTATTTATATATCATATGATTTAAATTTAAGATTTTTTTTAATAATAAAATATAACTACTAAATTATTTAAATTCATTAATTGAGATAAAAAAATATATTAAAATTATAATTTATTTACACCTAGTTGAGCAGGTTAAATGGTTATAAATTATATTATAGACACACCTTAATTTAAGAGTTAGGTTTTAAATTTCTTACACTCTTAAAATTGTAATTGTTTAAAAAAAATTATAATTTATTTTATAAATTTAAAAAATATTATATAGAATAGATTATATATTAAAAATATTTTATTTAAAATATTTAAATAAATTTATAAAATGGATTATACTTTTAGTGTATAGTTTATTTTTAAATTTTTAAATTTTTTACAAATATTTTAAAATATTTTTAAAGAAATTATTT